AACTACAAACCAATGTTGAGAGAATTTATTAAAATGCGCAATAAGTTTTTTTTTTCGTTGCGAGATATTTACTACTGTAAAATACTTTATTTTCACTTGGAATTAATTTTCGCTATTTTCGCCGAAGGGGTGACTCAATGAAAATAAAATCCAGCGAATATACCTTTTTTCTTTATTTTACCAAAATTCAGTAAAAATAAATTCCGTACAAAATACCCAAAATTGTCTTTTCAGCGAAAATTAATTCCAGTGAAACTAAATTATTTCACTATGGGCAAGGTTATCATAGTTACACTATGTTTATTCATATTATACTATTCGTTCATGTTGTACCATCGTCTGTAAATTAGATTCACTGGGAGATTACACTTATTTGGTTATACTTACACAGTGCCACGATCACGTGACGCAGCGTGTTTATAACAATTGTAATGTATATCGTGTAATGGGAGATAAGATTACCCTGGGACACGTGTACATTATCGATATGCACTGGATGGTTTAAAATCTAATAATGTAGATGAATCTGAAATAATAATGACAAGGTAGCAGAGATAGCTACACGATAATACCCTTGAAGTGACATGTTTCCGATTTTACAATCAATATGTTTAAACATTACGGTATCTTCGAGTCTACCTTCAGTTTGACGGGTCAATAAGTCAAATACAGCTCAACTACCCAGTCCACTGAGGAAGTTACTTCCCAGGGTCATGTGTCATCAGGGAAATCATACATCGGGTTATTACCTCGAGCAAGAATCTTGGACTTTCCTCCATACGAAACAGCATCACTATGGCAACCAAACATGGCAGCGATCCAAGAAGAACAAATACCCTCCAGCTATGGACCTCAAAATCCGGTGGTATGAAGAAACTTATTTCTGCAAAATTATAAAAAAAACCGGCAATATTAATATCACATTACGTGGTCTGATGGTATTTACTCGTGATTGTTCATCTTTATCCGATTCCGACAATCTGTTTTCTGATTACGATTAACGTATCAATTTGGAATCAATTGGGAATGGAAAATCGACCACTGGATACCTGATTAAATTTGTACAAGCAACGCATTGCGTGGATATTATTTCTAAAAAATAAAATTGGTTTGAAAACTTGTGTTCATTGTATCCCTCCTCTCCTCAAGGCGTCCGACTACTGAAACTTCGTCATCACGCCATCCTAAATCACTGTCCATAAGTTCATTCATTAAATTACCTGTCCGAGGTATAATTCCCCAACCAAGTAGTGATACATACACTCCGCCCATCGTCCACATGAACAATAACCACGTGACATTGGCCCCACGACTCGGCTTGGCAACGAACTCGCAGTAATATGCAAATGTGATAGGTATCGATCCTCCGATGCTGTGAATACGAATACGTAACATTAGTCTCGTGAACATTATTTTAAATATAAATTATTCAAAAAAAACAAAACAATGTAGATATAACTTCGGGTATTTTTTACTATGTGTAAATAATTCAGTTTGAAACTGAATCGAGATAAAACTGTGTGAATTATCGTACAATAAAAATGTTCTATCTCCGGTAAAGATATCAATATTCGCTTGATGTGATAATAGACACGTTATTGCGCGTGCGCCTCGAATTACAAGTACCTACTGGTAAATATGGAGCGCATGCGCATTTTTGTTTTACACATATCTTCGTAAGAACCCCTGTTATATTCCTTGATTAAAACGCAAGATAAAACGAAACTATTCTTTAAACGCGGTCAAAACTAACATTATCCACATTGCCGCTAACTACCTATACAGAGAAGCTTATACCCAGTCACACATGGGTCTGAGGTGAAATGATACGCTCACGAGTGACTTATCATGTGATCAATATTCGGAGAATGCATTGTCACTTAGTAAATTTCTGCGTAAATCGATTTTGTTAATGTACGTGACATATACACGGCTGTGTCCTAGACAGTAAATTATATGTAATTAGAATACCGTTTACAAATATATTCACGGTAATGTCACTGGTCAATTCGTTAGATCTGTATGTTTACCATCATAATTAGTTTCGTTTTCACTGTCCATGACTATATATTTTACAGGAGGGTGAATAGGAAATGCAATGTACTAGTCTTGTCATGAATTAGTTTTCGCGTGTCTGTTGACCGACTTATTTAGCTGGTTACTAGTGAATGGCTGGGTTATATCTGTCATAATTTAGAATCATGCGAGGTCCTGGACAGAACTTGACTCAGTGATTTGGAACTAATTACGATATAACCGTCGCCATCCGGACCGCTATTTCTGACAGTTTGGTACTTGCAGTTATTAATGTAGTGATGATTAATCAAAAGATATGACGTGTCCAGTACTTAGTTTGATTGGCTATGTGCAAGTTGAATGTGTGAAGGTTACGCCTTAAGTCTTTAAACTTCTTTGTAATTGGTTAAGTTTTGATACGTAATAAACGGTCTAAGTCCTTGGTCCCAGAGAGAGCTCCACGAGGCGAGAGAGTCTTGGTCAGCCCTGGGCAGAGTCTCCGACGAGGCAGTTGCCTTGAGGCGATCTCGATGTGGCTAAAGACTAGCTATTGAAACGTATTTCGTTGTGTGCGTCTATTTGATTGTAAAGTGACTTTCCCGGTCCGGGGCCTCAAGCAGACGAGATATAGAGCCAGATACGAATTCTCCCATGACAGTACCCCCCCCCCCACCCACCCACGTGCAACGGCGATGGAGAAGCAATCAACACAATTACAATCAAGATTTGCAACTTGAAAACGTATTATGTATAAATCCCACAATGCATCAGAATGGTATGGCAAATACTGCACACATATGCACACACGTTCACATCAATCAGTTTATTTAATATGAGCAACAATCACACCCGAATTGGGCGATCTATACAGAACAGATGAAGCGGTAGTCTCAATGCATGGCATGGACAACGAAATCGAAGCCAGATATAGATGTAATTTCATATTGTCTTTTCATTATCATTCGATATTTAATGATACACAAACATTTCAAACGTATTTTTATGATTCAGGCTTTTAGAGTAATATATTTGTTGTCCTGCCACAGATACGTGTCACATGTTCTGCGTTTCTTAGGCTTACCCCGTGAGGCAATTATTCTACTATATGTGAATACATGTAATCACTGTCCCTCCCTTGAGGGACAGTGATATAACGAAGAAGACATTAAAGAATGGTTATCAAGACTAAGTGCAAACTGCTTATAATTTAGCGAAACTATTTTCAAATACAATATACGCCGTTGTCTGAGCCACAATATTTAACCTTTTTAATTCTTACGGCCGTACTGCAAACAGATTTTTACGCGTGGCTCAATGAATACATTCACGACACGACGCGCAATCAAGTACTATCAGGGGATAACACTCAATAAGGAATCTTAACGCAGGTCGTTTATAACAAATATCAATAAAAACGTGTACGGACGCCAAGGTCATGTGTAAATGAATGTTAGTTTAATTTTTCATGATAAATAATATTTATGAAAAATTTTTAACGATAGGAGAATATGGTCAACTACCGTTTTCATATGTTTCTAAGCGTGATTTGCAAGTCAATTAGATTCAAACTGCTGATCAGTTTACGGATTTGATTTAAATTTAGATATCTAAAACTAACGGACGTTGTTATGCAAATTATCATAGAAGGTGAAGCGGAGAGTTATCCATGTAAACACAGTAATCAATAATCATCATGTTCTTGATTTCGTATGATTTTTATCATATAATTTGTTTGTATATCAGGTAAATTACATCCTCAGTCATCGATATTCATTACTAAATCGTTCCATCTTGTCATACGATGAGGGATTTGCACATGTCGTGTTTAAGTGACGACGTTCACTGTACCTATATTTGCGTGGGACGAATATATGCATATTTAGTAGCTGTGGCCGGGAGAGATCTTTCATTATTTGAACGTTTCGTTAAGACGAATACATGTGTCTAAATTTCTGAATATTATATATATCACGAGATCATAGGTTATATATAATAAAATTAATTTAGTTTTAATAACTAGTGTTGAACGTATTACCATGTCCATTTCAGATGATTAATTTACTCGAACAGGCACTTTGCATATGAGATCAATAGCTACAAGTATAAGAGGGATTAACATCGAGCGCGACGATTGTGCCATCTCCAATTAATTCGGCATTCGCCCAAATACGTTTTTTTTTTAGTAATTTTAGTGTTTCTTCAACAAATTAAGGCTTCGTGATTGATAAATATGCAATTTTCAGAAAACTGCAAAATATGGAGACCATGCTTTAGCAACTGACAATCAGCAATGGAATATCGCGGCATCGAGTAGGTTACGCGAGATCTTGACAATCATGAATGCTAGATAAACTGTGACGTTGACCTGACGAACAAGCTCACGACATCGCTTACATGGGGATGATGTCTTCTGTGTGAAGCAATGCAAATGTTATACAAATAAAACACAGTAAACAGTAGAAACCCTTACCCTATTCCACAGGCGAGTCGACAGAACAAAAAGAAGCCGTATTTTCTGACAAAGGCCGATATTATAGCAAAAAGTGCGTTGATTGAAAGTGCGGTTATCAGGCATTTCCGTCGTCCTAGTTTGTCAGATAGCATGCCCCATATCAGTGCGCCAATCAACATTCCAACGAATACTATACCACCTGAAATAGAATTCAATAAGTTCTGTATCATACAGCTATAACAGATTGCATTAGAAAATTAATTTATAGCAAACGACTTAAAGTTCATAAAAACAGAATGTAAAAAATTGTTTAATAATGTTTTATATTTTATGTGAATACAAACTATATAGTATAGATAAAAGCGTGGTTTGGGTAACGAACTTAAAGCGCGGTGGTCGTCGCCCAGGGCGTGTTCGAATTTCATGTAAATAAACAATGTATTTTACACGCGTAGTATACGTCGCTATGTGTCCCATATCGAACAGGACGCGGCAAAATGACTGCCGCCCTTTAAAACATTAATCGTTAGATGGTTTAAGTGATTGTGAAATGTTGATCATTTATTTGTTATTATTGAGACATTAAACATTAGAAGACCAAAAACAAACATATCACAGGAAACGGAGAAAAAAACGTGCGGCAAAGTTTCAACGTTTCATCATATATATTCTATATTCTCGCTTTGACTTCCTCGCCACGTTCTATTTTCTAAATGATTTAATTGTCCTCGGTATGCAAGGCATCTTTCCGGGGAATCGCGCCCTCTGGCGACAAAGCACCCATATGACATCAACATGGCGAAGATGGGAGGAGCAACGTCCTTCGAAATAATTCATTATTTAACAATGGTTCGTTTAATATAGCAAATTTCTAAACGACAGCATATTTTACCACATAGCAAAGCAACGCGATGCTACAGAGTAGCGTCACTTACTCTACCGTCGATAAAGGGCTTGAACTACGGAAACAGTGTGTTTACAATACACGTTGCGAGGGGGGTGTGCCTCATACTGAGGTCTTTTAATCGCCACGTATAATTGTAGTTCGTTCAATGATTATTTGGCAAACATCGGTTCAATACTGTCTGTATCCCTTGTATATTTATACTTAAACACGAAAAAAACGACGGAGACACATCGGTGATGTCAAGAAAGCAGGTTCGTTAAATTCGTTTATTATATAACGGCCTCTTTCGACCAAAGATTAATTACTTTACAATTTTGTAAACTAATTGAGGATTTTTAATGAATATAAACACGTGTAGCAATGATCCTAGCATGGACAGTTATTAATAAAGTCTATTAACTCCACAAAGGGTATTCCCACACAATGCAATTAGTCGTTGGAGGATATTTGTTATTCCTGTAACATGCGGAAATAAGTAACAAATCATGCACAAACCTGGACTTCAATTAATATGTTAATATGTTGTTTTTGTTATTTTTCAGTTTGGAAATGTGTGCATAAAATTGACGCAAATTCGCATTTTCGTACATATTCGTATAATTAATTAATTAATTAAATAATTGATATTTTAACCCCCTATTTTGAATAAGTTGACAGGTCACGAAGATGGACGGCATATGATACATCATGTTATATTTATCCATAAAGCTAGTGGGTATTCTAAATATGGTTATTTTGTTATTCATGAAATATGTTTTCTATAAAAAAAACACATTTATAACGTATCCCGTTTACAGTATGAAATTATGCGCATGCGTCCCGGAATTATATATTATTATTATTATTAATATTATTTGATTATGATAAATCCCATGCTAATGTTAGAACTGAAGTTTATAATACATTTACTCAAAGTTATTGTTTCTTTAATTAACTCTAATTTATTAAGGATGTACCTTGTTCAAATGTTACACAGAATAATGTGTAAAAATAACTATTAATTACAAAAAAACCTTAAATGTACATTTCATGCGCATTGACTCGCCGGAATTTTCATTTCCCGGAACTTTCGTCCCATACGATGGTTCTGTTCAAATAAAAGATTACCGAAAATCAAAATGTTCACCAAATTTACTGCGAAATATGGTTGGGCCACCGGATCACGCCTTCCTCTAAAAAAATGGAATATTCCCTTTCTCAAAAAAAAAAAATGATACGTCTTTTTGCTAGATTTAATTTTTGTCGTATGTTTAGTACTGTATAGGTCGTTTCCCGGCAAAAAAGAGAATATTGCTTTCTGTTGATTTCCCGTCAATACTATCGATTTGTTCAGTTGTGTTATACTTAAACAACACGTGACGCTTGACTTGTACACCTGATTTCTTGTCAGATTCGACTTACATTACACTGAGACACTAGACATAACTAGTAGGGACCCCGTGACAATCCAAATATTCACAGGCATCTCAGGGATATACATGTTTCTGTGACAACATTCACCAGTCTACGCACCAGAGATTAATTCGACCGTCCCATATAAAATGTTGCATTATTCTTTTTCCCTCTTTTTTCAGATAATTATAAATTCAGAGTTAGTAAATTTGTGTTAGTATTAACTGGGTAGTGCGACTGGAAATGACTTGGAAGTGATGTTCGTTTTATTCTGCTAGCACGGCAAATTTGTTAACGATCTTATCACGAAAATTTAAACAGAAATGACCACTGCAAAGAAAACGTGTTGTTTACGATACACAACTAATCTACTACTCCGCTGTATTTAACGTTATCTCAGTCAGTTGCAATTATTCAGGAAATCAGTCATAATCTCAATTGATGAAAAGACCGACTCGGAGTTTGATAATTGTCAATTTTGACAATTAAATAGACTTGATCATGATGGATATTATTTTAAACCATATTTAGTTTGGAATCAATAAATAATTGGGTATTAGTACGTTTCATGATATTATTAAGAATTCTAAATACATTATCATTCAGAGAGTGCAGAGCATTGTAGCCATTTTATACACACTGTGCAATACAATAACAGACACAACGCCGGTTGGTTTTTCGATGTGGTAGGCTCAAAATCTCGCCCCCATATTGCATTCTATCCTAAAGCGATAATTAATGTTAGATGCTAAATAGTGAACAGGTGTAATTCCAAGTCCAAGTTGGTCAGAATGGTAGGGAAATTTATTTGGTAAACCCGAAATTGAAATAAAAACCTAAAAATAAAAAAATAAAAAATACCCGAGACTTGTAGAAATATGTAAATAAAGTCACCCTCCTCCTTTATGGTATCCACCTAAGACCAAGCACCTAGACTGTAGAAAGCTTACGTTATTTCCAGGATCTCCGGTTTTGGTGCCCACGGCAACAATTGAAATGCAGCAGCGTCTCCGAACGCCATTTACAATTTTGTAAGAGCGCCGATAACTCAAATCTAACTAATATCATGTTGTTTATAATGTGCTCAATGTTTCTTGTGAATGCGCTGTCTGGGAGTGATACTGTAAAATTACGTTAGTTTACCTAGCCATCCCTTCTGTGAGTCATTCAGACAGAGGTCTCTTTCCGCGCTCGGTATAATAAACCCAACGATGAAGATTTCTGCACCATCTGCCATTAAACCAAAACCAATCGCAAAATACAATGCTATCTGATACTTCCCGAAGCCAACCTCGGCAATGGCTTGCTCATACGCTTCAGCGAGCTCCAGATTTCCAGAGAAAACCTGATTGCTTTGTTTTTCCGGTGACCCCATGACTATTCCAGCATCCTCCTTTGTGGTCGACCCAGGTGAACGTAGCTCGCTGTCCGCCTCATCCCGGCAGTAGTTCTTCTCCGCGTAGTCGATGTTTCCTATCAGCTGCAATTCTTCATTGCTGCCTGGTTCCGCCATCTTTACTTCTCAGGGGGAAATATTTCTCTGTGTTCAGTAGCTAGCATATGAAAAATCCCAAGAACTCACAGCTTCCTGAAAAAAAAGCGAGTTGATGAGCAGTCGGTCTTTATGAATAATACATAATTTAATACGTGGGAAGCTGACATCCCACAGTAGTTAACACTGTTTTTCTGATAATGCAGAACGTAGATGTGTACGGAATAGATAAATGCGATAAAACTGTACAAATTACCTTACATTTATAGAAGCGACACTGTCAAATCTTTCCCCTCGCCCTGTCAGTGCCAAAATGCCGCAGGAAGAGCCGGGTTATCTATATATACATTGGAACCGTACAGACACCGTCATGCACAGACGCCGACATAATGTCAGGAACATTATGCAAGTAGGCTCTGCTGATTCACCTTCAGGTTTATTGCAGCGCGTGGTAACTATGGCGACCCTCGTTGAAAAGTCACGTGGTACGTTTAAGAAATTGTTGTATAGTGTCATGTCGGGATGGCAATATTCCCTCGCCACTGCTCACTGCACTTATATTTGTCGCGAGGATTTGCGATAAGATTCAATCTTATAATTGCTTTACGTGTGTGTTTGTGCAATTTATGTGATTTTGAAAATGTGATTTATTTTTATTACCACGATATTGCTTGATGTTTTCGTTAATTAGCATGCTTTTGCGCAGCATTATTTTTTTTACTTGAAATGAATGTCCTTTTAGTGACGCATACTGCTGAGAAACTATAGGATACACGATTACGTATAAAAAATAAACCGTCTTCCGAGTCTAGTCTAATTTGCATTTAAATAACGTTGGATTGATTGTGATACAGATTCGTAGAAATTAATGGTTTTCAGAAACAGACACATTTACAAACTCTATCCCACGTAGCTTTTATTACTTGAGAATTAATCGGTTAAAACCGACAATCTAATGAAAGGTGATATACTATATAAATATACTATGCAGAGTAATGTATACTATCACGTGACTAGACGCGTTGTTCCTTTACTCGAAATGTAAAGCACAGGGTCGCGCGCGGCCGTGACTGTCATCGCCTTTTAAATTATTGTTATGACAGCGGTTGTTGTGTCGTGGCTGTCAATCAAACGTTGCGTAGATTATATATATATACATATATGTACATATAAACAATATGAATGAAATCTGATGAATTCATAGCTTGAAATGTATATATGTAAATGTATGTAAAGCGATTCAATTCCAATAACCCGTTGATTTAAAACAGAGCTCGAAGCAACAATATTGTATTCTAAAATTGACCGAACAATTGTTTTGAAAAAAGGCAGGTATATTATCAATATGCGTTTTCGCTTTACGAAACCCTTTGTGCGGTTTGACCTCTATAAGGTCATCGTGTTTAATGAAAGACATCTATTGTGATTAAATGAATACTGTATGAATACATTATATGAGTAATACTATGATGAATAAATCGTATTCTTTTTCGAATATGTCCAGTAATCAGTTAGTTCAGGAAGGAAGACTGTACAGGAACTTAAAGTCAAACGAAATATTTAGTATTTATATATACGATGGACTTTGTCGATATATTTATTACGATCCGAGTTGTTTTGACATACTACTACCAAAGGTACGTTGACACATAAAGACCCAAGTTATTTGACCGATTTCAAAACAAGCTGTTTTGACATACAAAATGTATTACAACAAAAACTCTGTTGACACATTTTGGACATATTACGACCTAGACTGCTTTGACATATTACTATTCAAGCTGATTTGACATAGTGCTACATAAACTGTTTTGACATATTACAAGCTGAGCCTGAGAACACGATCCAAGCTGTTTTGGCATATTAAGACACTGGGATCACGATTCAAACTGTTTTGGCATATTAAGACACTGGGATCACGATTCAAACTGTTTTGACATATTAAGACTCTGGGATCACGATCCAAGCTGTTATGACATATTAAGACCCTGGGATAACGATCCAAGCTGTTTTGACATATTGAGACCCTGGGATCACGATCCAAGCTGTTTTGACATATTAGGAATATGGGATCACGATCCAAGCTGTTTTGACATATTATGATCCAAGCAGATTTGACATAGTACTATATAGATTGCTTTGCTATATTGTTATCAAACGCTTTAACATTTTACGAACCTGGCTGATTCGAAATATTGACGCAGGCTGATTTGATATTTTTTGATCCTGACTTTGGTGACACATTACCATATCACCACAAATCTTTTGTGAATTATAACCAAACCCATCTGTTTTGAAATATTAGGGCCATACTGCCTTGACTTATCACCAAATCCAGTCTAACATATTATTATTAAATCATGTGGTTAATAATATGAGGTTATTACGAGGATACCGAAAAGTATGCACGAATACGTATCGACCGACGCGCAGCGTGTACTGTCTAAGTGCATAGTTTACGGTATCCTCGTAATAACCTTATTATTATACACCCCTCAAGGATACATCACGGGAATGCCGAAATACAAAAAGTTTAGAACAGATTGAGCGAACTTCTTTGTATGGGTCCGGATCAAACTTTGGGGGCAGCCGTTTGTTTGTATTATTAGAGGACGCTTATGCCCGTAATCATTCCATATTTGGAATTCACATTTCCTAATATGGTAGGATGAAAATACCCAGGGCAATACCGCAAAATAACGGCATGTTGTTACTTATGGCCTTGTGGTGACAGATGTATAATAATAAATGATAATATGATATTCACAAATCTGAATAATTTTGCTGATATATTGGTTTATTATGCTAATATACTACTTTAATTGTACACAGTCGTATATTTGGCAGTTGCGCTTTTTGTTTAACAAAAAAATACATATAAATATATGGCAAGAAACAGACAAACACAAGCACATACATGCAAATATTTTTACGGATATAAACAAAACACCATTATATACCTCATCAATGTAAACATGCGCTCTTGGTGGAGTTTACGGAAATAAAGCAACATACAAAAAGTGATTCTAGGTTCTTTTTCCGCACACGCCATTTATCAAAATATGTAATTATGAAGTTCATATTACATTTTGTTAATTTTTGCTGTAACTTATCTACCTCATGAAAAAACTAAATTATTTAAAGAACTGAGTACGGTCGGATCACACATGTTTTTCCTATTATTTTTATGGTTATAGCGCACATTCAGCTGACGTACAAATAATAATCAAATAAATACGATTAATATACCGATATTTACTATATGGGGACAGCCAGGGCTGTGAGGGCGCTTCAATAATACAATGCAATACTCTTTCAATAGTGATAAACCAAAATGTATGTTAATTACAATTGTTTAAATGCCATACACTGTTTACTAAGAAAAAATCAACGAGAACTACGTACAAATTTGTTAAATTTGTCATTATCCATGCTATCTAAATAAAACGTCTCTGCAGTAATTTGTTTTTAAAGCCTGAGTACTGTATGTTATGTCACCGTTTTCCTACCCGGCCATAGTTCAAAATTTAAACCTGTTCACTTAGATAAGTTGGAAATTATAATACGGTTAGTTTAATTGGTTGATCACTGTCGACAAACCCACCGCGAAATTGAAAATTGTTGTCTGGTTCGTGTGATTGCATCGTATACGCAAAGTTCTCCAGTCCAATGGCGTCTATGTTGCCGGTTTTTGACACGTTTGTCTGTTTCGCGTTGTCTTCCTCACTGTTAGTTAATGCCGGTGTTATCAACTGACCGTGCCTCTTACCAACTATATTTTCCTGGCTTATTTTGACATCTGTGTCCTCGTCGGTTGTCTGAGAATCATTGTCGTCAACTTTCCTGTAAGGTATCTTGTCTTCCATTACCGTGCCTCGGTCAACTTTACTTAGAGGAGTCGCCCTCACTGTGTCCGCGGTATGATAGTCAGTCGCAACCATGAAATATTCGCTGACACCGTCAGCTCGCACATCGGTAGTACTAAAAAAAAATGAAAGACCAGTCTTTAAAAAAAATGTAAACTATACTAAATCAAACCCTCAACAGATGTTGGTGAGTGTATTGGTATATCAAAAATATATATCATTATTAAAAAATGTTGTATTCGGTAAACAAACGTGAAATGAGATTTAATTTACTAAAATACTATCAACCAACATTTTCTTGAAAAATCTTTAAAACATAACATAAATTGAGACACAGACACATTACTAAACGGCAAGGGATAAAGGTAACATTTCTATATATTTTAGCCGAGTATTTACAATTATAACCGTTGTTAGTAAGGGACTTCCAAAATAAGGCGATTAATAAACTTACCCGTCATCGTCCTTCGTCGGATCGCTGCCGATCCCTAGTTTTATAATACACAATATGATGGCCACACAGAGTATTATAGCAGCTAGTCCACCAGCCACGATGGCAGTAATCTCCATACCTACGGGGAAAAACTTAGAACGTATTCAAGTTGTACGTGACCAATCGGAACACAGTTGTTGCATCATGATGCATAATCACTCGTATGAATAATTTGAAAAGAAATTGTATTAATATATACTCTATCAAATGAGCTTGTGGATGGCTAATAAGAAATTATCTCTAGAATATAAATTCAAATTGGCGTGTTAAATTACCAGGTAAGATATACTTGCGAAAATAATAGAAACTCACTGAGTTCGGAGGCTTTGTTTGTCCTTGAAGGTCATTTACCTTGCAGGTATGTTTGTCCAAGAAACGCGACCCTCCAGAAATAAAATGCGAGGAAAATGAAGGAAGAATATCTATTTTTAGTATATCATGCATTTTTGGCTAAAATAGAACATTTTAGCACAATTTATGCTTTAAGTCTGTTTAGAGAGTGATACTTCATGTATTTGCAAAGTAGCGAAAGCAACTTTAATTAAACTATATGGCGTTCTACAGGTTTCAAGCAATAATTAGTATTTGTTATGATTCGTTTTTTTTTAAGAAAACATTTTTTTTGCAAGCATGCCATATGCTTGTATTTACAGCGTTTTGTTTACTGCAATACCACAATAAGCATGCCTCGGGTTTATGACTGGAATTTTAGCGTAAAAATACGGGTTTGAAATGGCTTTTATAGATGATGCTTTTATAGTGACTGGGCTGGGTCATTTGTTCTAGTATTGCCAATAGAAGAAGTTGAGTCGGTTTTATTTCGGAGATGATGTTGATTATTATTTGATTTTAAAAACTATATAAAACACTTTGGTACTTTAAATTGTTAGTACATTGTATGTGTAAAACAACCCTGCTTTTCAAGTTTTTACTTTCTCGTTTATCGTAGTAAGAGTTTTCTGCGGACCAGTAAATACCCAAACATGTCAGATTACCAAGGTTTGACATGACAAATGTTTTGGGGCATAATCTCTGGTTACCAATTTAGAAATGTGACCGATTTTCCTTTTTTAATAAGATTTCTGCACAATGAATTTTGACTTGTCTTAACACATGCCACGTGCGGGAAATGAAATATTGTGTACGTTTAATTGAATATATTCGTCACAAATTCGCATCCATTATTCAACACACAACGAACGTTGGTCGCAACAATAAACACAGTTATTCGAGTTTGAGTCAATACGACTGGACGATGTTAATACGAGCTTGGACATGGCTGTAGCACGACAACACATCGTTAACATTCAATACACCTCACATGGAAACATTCTATTTATGCGAACCATTGTTATAAATCGTTCACCTGTAACGACCCACTATAGTGTATTGGATGTCTGTAACCCCAGAAAGAATGACTCCTAACGAGTTCTGTACACTGATCACATATCCTCGTTAAATGTAATGGCACAATAAACTTGTTTCGAAAAAGCGCCTTGTTAGAACTGCGTGTTTTCGTTGTACACATACGTCTTGTTCTGGTGCAAGAAACGACTCTGCTACATTGCATAGTACAAACAACTTTAGTTTGTCTGAATTTTTAAAACTCAAAAACGACATTCATAAGAAATAGGATGGTAGTTTGTCGAGGCCCTCCTCGTAGCATAACCTTGGTAGTTATATTTACGATTTGGACAAAATGAACTCATGAAATAACCCCCACCCCCTCTACAGTCTGTTTGATTGGTTGCATCTTTGCGGTGGTATGGACACGACAATGATATTTTCGTACTAAAACTACTATTGCTTTCACATATTGTTATAGTATGTTAGAAAATATTATTCCTCGTACACTATCATATTTACTGTGTCGGTGTACTGGGCCCGGACCACCAAATCAACGTCGACGATGCCGGGATTCAAACAAATACCACATATTGCCAGAGAAAAAACCCCATCAAATGTGCTATTTTTGTACTTACTTGATAGTTCCGGCATTGTTAAGGTATGCAGATAGAAGGAAGTGAAGTTATCTCTAACTTGGCAGTGTGCAACTTACAACTACGTCACTCGGTGGCAAGCCTTTCAATAAATAATAGGCTAGAGGTCAAAGGGCATTGAATGTGGGTATACCATCCGCGACTACTGACACGTAAATCATGTTTTTTTTTCGGAAACTTCCAATTGAGTAGAAGCATACTTTATATACAAGGTAGAATTCAAAACGTCAAATATTAACAAACAAGCTGCTCTCTAATTGGTTGAGCTGCTGGGTGTTAGGGTTAGGTAGCCAATCAGGCACAATCTTGTAAATAGCTTCGCGTTGACTTGAGACTTGATCCGAAACGATTACATCATGAAATCCTATAGCCATCACGTCAATACTTTTACTATCAAGGACTCTGGTCTTACAAATTAATTTGTTTCCCGAAGTCAAATTATCGAAATTGTTCTTGGACACACAGTATATTATTAATTTCAGTCAATTGTTGTCAATTAACGTGCAACGCCAGAGATGGTAATGAGTATTCAAAATTTGAGTTGGACACATGATCATATTTCCCTCAAGACATTTTGACTCTTAATTCAGGCCAACATCATCACCAAAGTTCTGAGGATATGGTAGTTCCCTGAAGAAAACTGCATTTCTAAAATGAATTACTGTAAAGAAATTTAAAGACTTTTCAATTTTTTTTTTAATTTTTCATGTAATTTAAAGACAACTTAGACTTTTCAGACCTCAAAAAATTCAATCACTTTCAAAGGATTCCCCCAACGCTATGGACCCTGCTGTATTCCGCTAGCCACCAAAAAAAAGGTAACAAACAACTATAGAGGGCGCAATCCAAAGAGAAAATGAGCCAGTGGGAATGTTTGTTGGACAATCACATTAAACCAGCTGAAGTTATCATCTGAAAATAAATCTCGCATACAATCATTTCCTCATCAAATACGATGATATGGGTCATTATTGTTATAGTATCAAACACATTATGAAGGACAAAAACAATTTTACACTTTCTGAAGAAAATTTATTCTGTTTGTACATGTGCAATATCCTCACACACAGTAACATGGACAAAAGCTGATAGTCAAAGAAACAAGAAAAACACAAACATAAAAATTATATAATAATTTGTCAGGATATAGACAACATAAAAGAATGAAGATGATAGCAGAAAATAGGGAAACAAATCTGTACATCCTTGGTAGTTGTCATGGATACTGCAAGTATTGAAGTACATTGAAAGGCAGTGTTTTAACAATATAAAAAAAGTGATATTTCTATATACAAAATATTTTCAAATTAAATGTCAACTGAGCTACAGTTGCTGTTCTTCATTGATTTCTAAATAACAGTAATTTATTGACAAGTGACCAGAAACCAATCGATACTAACAATCACAATATTTTTAAATATTATCAATCATTATTTTCCAAATAACACCCATACCATAAAAAACAAAAAAATAGTCATTACAACATATATAGTTCAATCTGAAGAAATGTGTCTGAGTTAACATTTAATTGAACACAAATTGTTGAACTCTCATAATATATTATGCTAAATTTGTTCAAGTGTGCATATATTTAGCTATAAATTATATATATTACATAAATTACAAGAACATTTATATTTGGCATTGATTGAAATGAACCACCCCCACATCACAGAATCAGGTAAAAAATTATGCAAAATAGCTACTTAAATATTCATGAATTATTCTCACAACTACCATATACAGTTGGACTGAGAAACAGTTGATCGAGTAAGTGGACATTACTGGCATTATGTACATTGTGTGATACATCTAAATTAAACTCAGAGCAAATATTTTTCTTTAGTATTCGATAATAGCTACATAAATGTCCTATTTGTCTACAAAGTGTACTTGGTTTTCAGAATTCCATTCTGCGTAGAGTGTAAATTATAAAATTGTTTTAGTGGGAGTTATTAACTGGGTGGAATGAAGAGAGTAAGATCTGGTACTACTTGATATACTTGTATCACTGAGTCTACCTTCTGACAATTTGGAAGTACTGATCTGTGGTTTAGATGGAAGTGATTGTATCCTGCTTGACTGTCCAGTTGGTGATATTCTCGAGAAAGGCGTTGAAGTGGCTGGTTGCGCCAGTTGATTGTAGGGAAGTCGTGATTTCTCAGTAGATTCGTAAGTCCCTGATGTATCTAACTGAGCTGGGAGTTCATTGTATTCAGTATCCATGGATATGAAGGAGAGATTTGTTGGGGCTGGTGACGGTGCTTGGGTGTGCCTTGTCATCAAAGGAATTGGTTTTTGCATCTTTGGTTGTGCTTGTGATGTCTTTTCATTGTATATTCTGTTAGAAACTCTCAATGGTTGTCTTAAGTTGGAAGACTGGCCATCGGGCGGACCACTTTGATCTCTGATTGGACGAATGAGGTAGTTTGAATTCTTTGTTGGGTCTGTTGAGTTGTTCGACGACAGCATGGTTGGGTCAGTTGGCGTTCTACTGTGAGTTACAGGTGTACCCAGCTGGGATGCAGTGTAGCGAGGTGTATCTCTGGTTCTACATGGAGATGTGTCCCGACTTCTGGTGATTCTCTGGCTTGAGGGAGTGTTTCGTGATCTAGCACTAACAGAGGCATCACTGCTGGAAGACCTTACAGTTGGAGCTAGTCTGTCTCTGCTCCTACCTGATCTATAGATGACATCAGCAGGGGAGGACAGTCTACTAGCCGACCTGCCAATGGCATCAGTACGAGAAGTGCTCCTCGGTCGGAGCGTTATGCTACTTGATGATAAATTCCTCGGATCCTCGGGAGAGGACTTTGTGGAATCTGGAGTCAACTTTTCTGGCATTGGGTTGAATTCTCTTGGCTCTCTCGGAAGGCTCATCACCTCATCATACCTAGATCGTAACCGTTCATCACTCTGTCGTGCCGTTTCACTGATAGATACGTTACCAGACACTGGATCTACTTTATATTTCTCCAACAACGAAGACACACTATTTTCTTTGGCTGGTCCATACGGTCTCATAATCGGCTTGTCCGTGACTTCAATGTGCGGTTTAGTAAGCGGAGAGTACTGGATATTTTCCTTATCTGCACTCGCATCACTGGCGTATATTTCTAATGATTTGTCATTTTTTCCATCAGAAGAACAGATTTTTGAATAGTCTTTTGGCATATACGTTGGCAATGCTTTTACAGATTTCAAAGTCTGAGAGTTAGATGATTGTGACTGCATTTTTTTGTCACTTGATCGATCTGTGCTTTTGCTTCTTTTCTCGGTATCAAACTTATCAAATTCCTGTGAGAGATTTCGTCTCCTTACGATTGGTTTGGCTTTGCTGGTGCCATCAGTTTTTGATGAACCACTTGACCGGCTGCTATTGGCAGAGCTGCTACGACTGCTTCTGTCACTGCCAGTGCTCTTTGCACTTGATATTTTGTTCTTTATCGCTGGCTTCCTTTTATCAAGTATATTCTCTGGCGTGACTTCCAGTGCTTTGGCCATGAGTGCAAGCTTTTGTGCTGCAGTCACATTATCAAAATCACTAAAAACAAAAATGATAGAATAAATATTTATCAATTTCATGAAATTACGGAAACAATTACATTATCAAGATTGAATTTATATTAAATGGGTTGTCTTAGTTCTGACAATTGTGAAAACACATTTTGCTAGCATTCTATTTTAGCCGTTTTACCTAATCTTTAATGTTGCTTATTCAAAATACTGATAATTTAAAAGTATATTCTCCCAATGAGATTGTTAGCACGGGTCACATTTGGTAAAATCCAACGATTATACCTTTTTCCCTCTATGTTACATTCAACTCGTCAAAAATCAGTGAAAATAAATTCCATACAAAACACCCAAAAAAGTCTTTTTCAGCGAATATTAATTGCTGCTAAAATAAAGTATTTTACAGTACTACTAGATTTAAAACACTGCGAGCAATACATTTTGTAGGCAGACATTTGATTTTATACTCATACTTAACTTCAGTGTGATTATTAGGAGAATTCAAACAATGGAATTGAATGTACCATAGAGGACGCTATTCCAACAGTGCAAAACAAGAATAAACTGATACTAGATAAACATAAATAGTATATTATTTATTTGTACTTACTTGTCCCCATCAGAATTTTTCTTTTCATCTTCTAATAACTGATGTAGACACTGTAGGTAATATTTTCTGAGTTTTTTGGCAGTAGAGTGCCTTTCTTTGATAACTTCAGATCTGACAGTCTCGGCACATCTATCTCGGCTCTCATTAATATAATGAATAACATCAGCTGAAATTGCAAAACAGAAATTTTGTTTATAGATACTAAAATACAGCTGTATTTAGAATTCTGCCCAGCAGTTCTGTAATTCATCAACCAATTACATTTTGAATGACATAAACAAATAAAAATATTTTTACACTTTATAACAGACTCAATTATACTTACATCTAATCTTGTTGACAGCTTCAATATAATGCTCTCGTAACTGCTGAAGACCATCTCCTTGTATTTCTGAGATGTCTTCACCATCAGTCTGCTTGAAAGTGAAAATAACAAATCCTTGTTAGCTTTTGATGAGTACACGTTATTTTCTATCTTGCAAAACATAACTATTGTCCCAATATTAATTTTGTAATGAACCCAAGTAGTCAATGGTTTGTTCAGTGAAGTATATTGTAAATGTGATTTGTATAATTTGTGAATTTGTAGTAGCGTAATTCATTCAATTTCAGCTCCTAGTAACTTTTTTTCCAGATTTGATGGCATTTGTCAAGGCAAATTTCAAGAAAGTCACTAACACTTTGTGTCAAAGGACAGCAGAAAAAAATTCACTGTTACAATTTTATAAGTGGTCAGCACAAAGACAATCAACTGCCATACACAAAATCTGAAGATTTACTTTGGTTTATTTTTCGCATACCTGAGTTGAAGTGTGTTCTTTCGTCTGTCCCTTTTCTTTAGCTTCCAATCTATCCACCACTTGCTGAGCTTTTAGTAGCTGTTCTTTTAAAGCATCTACGGTCTGTGTATGATTTCTTTCCTGCTCAGCCAACTTAGCTTCCAGCCTTCGGACATTAGATTTATGCTCCTTATCAAGCGTACTTTTCAAATGGTTCAACTCCAATCGAAGATTCTCATCAACGACTTGCAATTCACTCTCGGCTCTGTCAAGTTTTTGTTTCAATTCACTTTTTTCTTTTTCATAAGACTCCATCGAATGAACCATCGATTGTTCGGCTTCTAGTTTATATTTCAATTCTTGCATTTCATTTTGGAACTGCTTTTCAACTTCTTTTAGTTCTTGCTCAGCTTCTTGTAACTGTTTTAATAATTCAAGTCTTTCTCCTTGCCATTGTTTTTCTCTTTTTTTAATGAATTCATCACAAGAACCCTTTACTTTGGCATCAAAACTCTGACAACAAAATCAAATTATGCAGAATTAGACATTGATATTCTGAAAGTGCCCGATGCCATGGAGCAACTGAAAAATCTGGTAAATATGACAATTTTGATGAAAACAACAGGTCATCAGATGCTACGAAAGCTTTTCACATTGGCCATATATGACAAATGAAGTGTGAATTATTTTTTGGGCAAGAACACAATTAAAATTTGTATTCCTTGGACGTGAAAAAATACACAAAAATATTGACCAGTATCCAGGTGAATACAAAAAATTGGCTTCTCCACCATTTAAGAAAAAAAACGCTTTCACCATTTTCTCTTACCTTATTCAGATCCTCCTTCAGTCGTTTCAGTTTATCCTCGTACTGTTTATCCAGCGATTTTCGACGTTCTTCATATCCTTTCTTTATCAGTTCAATTTCCGACTTGTGTTTTCGCTTCAGCTCTTGCACTTCCTAACCAACAAAAATATAAAAAAAAATTATAGAGGGATACAAAACACAAGAATTCACGAAAAATATTTGGTTACAGGTCTTGACAAAATGTGTTCTTTTATTTATGAAAGATTAACTTTATTACATCTTATTTTAGAATAGAAAAGAGTGACTGGGAAATTAAATACAGTGATGTGATCGCCCCCTAGTAGGGCAGACATGTGATTCTTTTGTTTTTTCCTAGCAAATGGATAATCTGTCACTTAAATACAAACCTTTTGCCAATCTTTTCTTGCACTATCAAGACTTTCATCTAAAATACTTCGATGCTTATCAAGGAATGAATTATAATCAGATTTCCATTTCTTCTCTTTGTCAGCTATAATGCTTTTGATTTCATTATCTTTCTGTTGTGATAATATCGTTCTGTTAGGAAATCAAAAAAACAGTAATGAAACATCAAAGTAATATTCACAAAATGCAATATCAGTTTTCACCAAAAGACAGTGTCCCCTGCGAGTGGTACTGCGCCCTCTATGGTTAACTTTAGAAAACACAAAGTTAAATATTATTGGTTATTCTGTCAGCCCCATGTATTTTCACATTGACTACCAGATATGGGTTAATAAGTTCAGTAATTTTACCTTTTCTTTCTCAAATTCTTCTCTGCTTCGTTTTAAAGATTTTCTCAACGTGTCTTTGTGTTCCTCTAGATACACAGAGTAATCAGCGTCACATCTCTCTTGCATCTTCTTGATAGCATCTTTTTTATCTTTCTCTTTCTCTTCAACGATAAGCTTCTCTTTTTTTCGCAGATTTTCTCCACCTCCTGCTATTTGACGTAACGTCATCTCCTCTTGCTGGTCATGCAGTTGTCTTATTTCCTACGGGAAGAAAACAGTAATGAAAAAAAAATTACCTCCCGTAGGTAAGAGTAAATGAATGATAAATCGTTTTTCTTGACGCACAAAAATACATCTCTCACAAAAATAAGCCAATTTATAGTATCATCTCATGAAAAACATGTATGCTAGAATATTTTAAGTAAATCGTGTACCTTTTGGAGATCGTTGATTGTCTGTTTCATAACATCACTGGACGTACTTTTCACTTCTTTCCACATGTTCTCTTTAGTATCAGCAATAACCTTCTCGATCGTCATCTTTTGTTGTTCTTGCCATTTCTGTCTAGCCTCTTTCAAAGCCTCTTTGATCTTAGAACTCATGCTTTCAATATTTTGTTGCTGCCATTCACTTTTAGATTTCCGTAAAGCGTCGTCAATTCGACTCTTCATAGATAATTCTCCGTCTTTCATCCATTCTGCCTTGGCATCGTTAACAGCGGCCTCAATTCGCATACGAATATCTTCCCCTTGCTCCACCATGACTCTCTCCTCAGCAGCTTTCAATGCACGATCAATCAATACAGAGTCTCTATCACTGGCATTTTTCCATTTTAGTTTAGCTTGCTCCACAGCATCTTCTTGCTCTTTTTTGCATCTATTCTCAGTTTCCATGACAGCACACTTCACACGATCTTCCATTTCCTGCATCAATTTCTCCTTATTTCTCATAGTTTCCTCCGTTATCTTAGCAACACTATCATCGTGTTCCTTCATCCAGGCTTTCCGGGCATCGTCAAGGGCAGCTGTAAGTTTCTGATTGGCATCAATCTGGTGTTTAGTCATCCATTCTACCTCAGCTATGGCAATAGCCGACTCCACTGCCTTGCTCTTTTCTTCCTCATAAACTTGATGTAGTTTCTCTCGTTCTACAGAAAGTGCCTTTTTCAACTCCTCCGGCTCAAAGCCTTGTCCCTTCACTGAAAAAGCAACACAGAATTTTTGATAATGAATATTCTCATTTCTGTAACACCTGTGGGAACACAGTTAAAAACACAGAGAATGGACCACTTTGAGTAAGACTATGAGAAAGTTGGTACTTAATTAGGGATTAAAGATAGATATCTACATATTAAGTCTAGCTGTAACTAGACTTTGCCACTTACAGTGCTGTACATGAAACAATTTCTTAGTGTCTGTTTGTTTTGAATATGACTAAATAATCACAATTTCTGGATATATATAATACTCACTTTCTTGTAACCTCTTCTCAATGCCTTCATCTACAGCCATATCTAATTTAATGGCCCATTCTCTTTCTGCAGCCTGTAAAGCGTTATCTACTGCTTGTTTTCTCACATCACTCTGCTCTTTCAACCATTCCAATTTAGCAACAGCAATCTAAGTAGAAAACAATGACATTATTAACTACACATTTTACTAAGAGCCATTTAATTTTTGCAGATTTAGTAAAATTTGAGAATTCAAAAAAATATTTTACAAAAATAATTTTGACTTAATCTTAGATTCATTGTAGTTGTTTCTGGGATGAGAAGCCAACTACTCTTTGAATTTTAAAACCCTGGTGAAATATTCAAGCTACAAAATTTAACCATAATCTGTGAAATTGGCGAAAAAGTTAATTAAACGGTTAACTTTATATTGTACAAATACAAGACTAACAAATTAGTGTACATATCACCAATGTTACACACTTATGATTTATAAAATCACTTGGGTAACTATCTATGTTACTGAATTAAGAAATACCTTTGTTTCTATCAGTCTATCTGTTTCTGGTTCCTGGTCTTTCTGCCATTTCTCTTTAGCTGACATCATCTCGACACGATGAGAATCAGCCAATGACTGTTTGAGTTTTTCCAATGCTTCATCTTTCTCTACCAACATTGCCTCTTTGAGCTACAAGGGTAAACATAACAATCAAATCAGTCAGAGCTGAACTGTAATGTCATGATAAGTTCAATCATTCACAACTGTTGACCCTTTTCATGGATAACATAAATATATTGTTCATGATGTCAAACGCATCTTTCTCGTGTATAATTTCAACTAAGTTGCAGTTAAATGAAAGCACCTACAGATGTTTGATAACACTGGCTCCGCAAAGTTGCATTGGCCAGTTGCTCTATCTTCCTAAGAGAAGACTAGGTGCACGTGAGGATAATTTCAGTTTTCAAAGAAAGAAAAATAAACAATTGAATGAATACCTTAGTTAGTTGGTCTTCACTCAATTTGACCTCCTCACTGTGTTTCCCGTCCAATCTGTTCTTTTCTTCACATACATTAATATACAACTGTTTGATATCATCCACAGTTTTCAGCGCCTCATTGAGTTCAGATCTAAGATGAACAAAACAAGATAAGTTCATTTCCATATATGTTAATCCGAAGGT